TCTTAGTTGAAATCAAACTGATGGTGTAGCAATGGGAATTCCGTTAGGTCCTGTACTAGAAAATATTTTCATGGCTAATCTCCAAAGAACTAAGCTCAAGCGATTAGTAGAATTATGTATTACTCGAGGTTTATTGATAATACCTTCATCATATGTAACAATCAACAACATGCAAAAATCTGCTGAAACTTTTCAATAATTGTTTTCGTCCAAAACAATATGTTCCTTAACACAATCAAAGATCTATAGGTATTATTTTCATATTACCAACATCTGTGTTTACAAATTGGTATGTATCTTTCGGAGTAAATACACTGTCAGAACAGAAAGAAGAGCCTACATCCCAAAACTTTAAGGTCAAGCGAACTAAAAGCATTCAGTAGTGCCATGTCGAGAAATCTTCGTGATACAAAACATCAGGTGGATACAGTGAAATCTTTCAAGGTGATTAAACAATCGAACTCAAGTCTTCTGAAATTTGCCGAAGCTATAGCGATCAAACGTCTAAAACCAGATCTGTATCCAAAAAGAGACAATAATAAATCTTTCTTTGCCCTGGTAACATTACACTCCTTTTTACTTATTACATCATTCATTATTTCAACTCTTTCTGAAGTTTAAATTACATCACTGTCATTTTCTTCAATTCCTAATTGACTGGTTTCAATCCATATCTTTCTTTATTACCATTAATCTATTTTCAGTTGCTTCATTACATAATCATCTAATGATAGTTAACTCCATGAGTTCTAAGCACTATTTCAATGTTCTAAAACCTTCCCTCTTAAACTATATTTACCCGAAACAAACAACTTTTATGACCTTATTGAACTCCATTGAAATCTTCACTACATCATGGTACACATATTCATCTCTAATTACCTTCGTATGTATAAGTATGCCAATATCTGTCATAACTTTGATTTGGAGAATATTACAGGTTGTAAGCAACTGATGAGAACCCAACGAAATCAAGTGAATTCACATTATTCTTCATCAATCTTTGTTCTTGCTCTCTTTAAAATGTTAAATGAAACTATGTGTTTGTAATAAATTTCAGTTAAACATTTTCAATTTATACTGTCAATGTATACCGTTAACGGTTGGATTAATTTGGATTCAGTTATTTATTCTCTGAAGAAGTGGCTTACATTGAGTCACGAAACATCAGAAATCTAATTTTACTACCCATTGAGATCACTGCTTCTCACCAAAACTCCAAAAGCTACCTCTTGGAGACCGTCACCAGTGAGCATGTGTTAATTCATATCAGAAGGGTTTGTATGGAAATTGTAGTAATTTCAATGGTTGAGATCATAATTCAATTGAAGCTAGACCTGGATGTACTGAATGGCCGTTTCACCCAATTGTGCGGCTCCTCAGCAGTGTGTATCCACGATCCCCTCCTAGCAAGCTCCGAATCCAGGGCCTATCAGTCTCGCGTGCGAGCGCTTCGTATCCAGTTATTTAATTCATATACCTTATTTTATTATACAAATACGTATGCACACTTAGAAGAACATATTCGTAATCTAACATTAAGATAATGTCAGATGTAATTTACATGATCGTTTACAGAATATATCAGAATAAATTGAATATAATGTCGATTATGTAATTAGCTAATTATTAACATTCTGACTTATAAACTCTTTTACTTTACTAATTAAAAACTGGTGCTAAAGTCTTTTGATTGTATAACCAGTTTGATTAAGTTTATGTAATCATTCATGTCATGGTATGATGTCACTTAAACTCAATTCCCTCCCAACCACTTTGGGATATACTAACAATTCAAAATCTCACAAGTACAATGACTACAAGAAATCACAAATAAAAAATCAAAATCTGTACATAACTAAATCGTATGTGGTACAAATTTGATTGATTGATACATAATTTGATAGTTTACATCTTCAACTGACTTTAGTTATGCAACCATAGAAAACCACTAAGCAGTGAACAGTTGTTTTGTTCTGGTATCGAACACTTTGGTAATGGATATCCACAATTACATTAGGGAGCAAGCCTAGGACCTTCACGTTTCGCTACTGGAACTTAACTTTTAAACCAATTAATCGATAACTGGTGATTTGTATTTCTAACACTCATCAATTCACAATATTGCGCAACCACCATACAATGCCACTAGTATCCACCCATATGACTCCTTAGTTAATTAACTGAAATCCATTAGCTGTGTTAAACAATTATTATCGTGGATGTGCACTGTTGAGGAGTCCCATACTAGAACGAAACATCCGTCCAGTGCTTCCAGGTTTTCTATGGTGGTCTAGCTTAAATTGACTCATAAATTTAACTATAATTTTACTCTCTATCATCCAATACAACCTAATTTGTTGACACAATTTAATTTGTATGTGAAGCGGAATTTTTCATTTATTCAAGCTAAGGCACTTTGTAAAATATTAGCTGCTTTATAGAACTGTAAGAACGGACCCCGGGTGAACTCAAGAAATATCTAAAAAGCCCAGAAAGAGCTGAAGATCTTTCAAACAGTCATCTTTTGAAAGAACATTCCAGAATCTTAACGTGTAGCTTCCGGATTGAACAAATGCTAAAAAGTATTGCATACGAATTGGATGACTGTAATAATTAATTCATTTTTACTAAAAACTATAAATATCTGTGAGTTCTGTACTATATTTGACACTGTTTGGAATAACATTCCTTCTCCCTCGTCGTCTGTCTTCTCACTTGAGACTTAGAGGGTTCTATTTCTCGATTGCTCAAGTAGTACGCGGTATAGCAGGAATCTAAGCTCTAGATATAACAAAAATGCTGTAACTGAGTTATGTTTCACCATCTATTGTAGTTCTCTTGTATTATAAAAGTAAGACATACTAGAATGATAAGCTATGATATTTCTTTCTACTTTTCATTTACCAACAAGTACTTGTGTTTCAGAACAATCTTAATAGTATTCAATGGTAAATTATTAAGTTGCAAGATATTAGTTACAGTCTTTTATCTATTTTACTCATCTTCTTACATTGTAACAAGTTTAGTAGCTCGTCTGAATACATTAAAAGTAAAAGATAGTAAGGCATTGAATGAAATGGTTTATTTAAAGTCTTGTGAATTTATTGCTTTACTGTAGGTAGTTAGATAAATAGTTTTGTTTTAACGTGCGGTGTCCAAAATGAGATACTGATAAGCGGTGTGCTACGCCCTAACCCTCAGCTGACTACTTCAACGAAAACACAAGAGTGAGAGAGAAAGTGTATTGGGCTACCGAATAAAATGCACAAATACTTATTTATATATATACACCAGTCTTATTCCTAAAAAATTGATCTGTTTCTTAGTCAGTGAAATGTATTTGTCCTTTAGGTCACCTTCACGTTAGACTGGCTCTCCATAGTACATCTCTTAACGTGAATGTCATATAGGTAGAAAATTTATTTATAACTTTGGAAAATGTCCTCAAGAATGTTTTCTTAATGCTACTAAATATACCATCTAAATATTTCAGCTGAACATTTGCTCTGTTGGTACTGCCAAAAATCTAAGATTCTCGATCTCATATATAATAGGTTTACTACAATCAAAGAGGTGCAGGCTATCTCATTTCTAGTACGTTTGTTTTGTACATCACCAACATTGATGGTCTCTGTCGAATGATTGGAGACCTACTCGAGCTAGACGGGGACGGTGTGACAAATCAGCTAACTTCGAAGTCACACCTCGGGATCAGTACCTAACGTGGATTACCCCTTCGATGTATCAAAGTACTATGGTTGCTCTGAAATCCGTATAAAACAAAGGACGTTATTATGGAAATACATTAGTAAGAATGAGTACAGAGAAGATAGCGAGACCATCACCGCATGCGCTAGTCCATGACATACGATTACCTGATGCGCGTTGGTTGTCCTTGATCTTGACGGGGACTGATGATCTGTCCGATATTCAGTAACCCAACTGCCGGATGATTTGGCTAGGGCTCAGTGACATTTCACTGGCCCTACAGCTTATTGTCTTATATCCATCCAAATATGAATACAGTTGAGTTTCAAATACATTTTTATATAATTCAAAATTACATTCATACTTCATCAATATCTAATTGACCGAATGTAATCACGGACCAGTATACCATTGTGTCGTTTCTAGAATTGTTTACATGATTGAATAACAGATTTCAGTAGTACGAAGGGAGAAGATGTGAAAATCATTCATTATTACATTATCCTAAATGTGAATAATAAATTTTAACTACAGTTGTTTTATTGTTGGCGTCGGTGTATACACTCTCTGTCTTCCCTTAAACTAAGAGATTAAAATCGCCTCATACCTTTCGCCGTTGAGAAGAACGATGAAAACTCCACGATCAAATCATCCAGCTCAGAGAACAAATCTCCAACAAAATGGTTAAACTTCATTAGAACTCTTGAAACTAGTCACTAGCGAGCACATGATGATTAACCAGTCGACATAATTCTGCTCAATTAATTTCCGTACCACAAATAATGAGGATATATATGAAACTATTCTGAGATTAGATGGTGGTTGGAGGTAGTCGACAGGAAACCCTGGACCCGAGTTTCGTGCTACTTGGCACTCGTCAGCAGGGTGTACCTGTAATCTTGAGGGAACTGGTGTTCCCTGACGGATTCAATCCCGTGTCACCCAACTTCACAGTCAGATAGCATTCGATCTGCACTAAATAACGACTTGACACACATGATGTTGATCACCACCCAGTGATCAATCAATTATGAAACTATTTTCAAACCATTTGAGATTATTGTTTCCAAAATACTGAAACTACATTGATTCTAATGCATATTTCAAATAAGATATTTTAAATCTATGATACACTATGAGTCTCTCATGTATCGTAAGATTTAATTAAGAAAAATTGATGTTCCATAGACAGATATGTAAATCTACACAACTCTGTCACCAATGTTAATCAGAATATAGTAATCAATGGTAAATGAAATGAGGTTAAAGAATAATTTGAATCATAATGCCTAGCTAATCCATAAATAAGAATATGCCCTGGTCACCATAACAACAATCCAAACATAAATCTATCTATAAATATATGTGTAATGTAAAAAACAAGCTAAAGTTTGTAATCTAATATAATCAACTGTTTAATGAGGATGGTATTGTAGTGAACAAGAATACCAGTGGGGATGATCGAATGTATCTGAACACAGGTACTACAGAAAATCTTACTAAAATACGAGAACCATACAGTAAATCGTCAATTTGCAAAATATCAATCCATTGTCTCCAACTTCACTGTTCCTTTGAAAAATCTCAGTCCATCGTCTCAGATTTCATTGTTCATGTATTTTCATACCAATTCCTTTCCATTACTGTTCGCTCCTTCTTGATCTTCTATTGAAATACATTCTATTTCTGAGTATCGTTTTATACTACTTATGTGGATATAAGTAGCTCAAAACATAAATCATTCAATTAAAAATACATAAAAATAAACTTTCAAATTTAATGTCAACATCTTCAATTGATTATTTTGATTCTATTAATAATATTCCATCAAATCATCCAATATTCACTAAAACACCGAATGTTTCACCAGCCAATTCATGTTCTTCACTAAATTCATATGATTATACTAATCCAATTCAATATAGAAATCAACAGAATAAACAATTTCATTCAATGTTTAGACAAAAAAATAAAAAAATAATTTGTAATTTATTACCGAACCAATGGTCATTTACAAATAATGTAAGTAATATGTCTTAAGTTAATACTGATGTTCCCTGTTATAATTAGAATACAAATCTAAACAATACCTTAGCAACAATTAGCAATCAATGATGTTTGTTGTTTAGGAAACATGTTGTTATAAATTGATATAAATGTGAAAATGAGCTGTAACAGATTCAGATTGATGGATATACTGTTAATCATGTGACCTTTTGACTTTTGGATTCAGCTTTGTGTAATTTTGTGGGTACAAATTATTATGATTCTTTTAAATATTCAATCGTTTCTCAATTCAGTAAATCAGTCAGCTACAACATATGAAGCGATTTTAATCTCATAGTTTAAGGGAAGACAAGAAGTGTATACACCTACACCATTGTGATCGATTCTGAGCCATGTCAACAAGAGTCTCCAACTATTGGTTACGGTAGTCACGTGGATCCCAACCAAGTAGTCTGCATATACCAACATGGATCATACTAGAATTTAGTGACTTCAAGGACTGATGTCAAGTTTCGGTTTGGCCGCCCCCAACTTTCTTCCAATCATCTTCAACACTAGTCAACATTGCGCATCGTGTTAATCGGCGTTCAGGCATACGCAACACATGGCCCAACCATCTTAAACGACGAAGAGTTACAACTTCATCGACTGATTTACCATCATTCCCTAATACCCTTTGTCTAACCTCACCGTTACTTACCCAGTGATCCCAGTAGATGCGAGCAATATTTCTAAGATATCTGTGGTCAAATACTAGTAGCTTACGAGTATCTTATACTCTTGGTGGCCACGTTTCGCAGCTGTAAATTAAAACAGAACGAACCATTGCGCAGTATACGCGTTCCCTAATTGATATACGGATATCTCGCCTTCGCCATAGATGACGTAAGTTGGCAAAAGCCAAACGAGCTTTTTAGGTTCTCAATGAATTTTCAGTTGATTTCGTTTGGTGAATAAAACTGTTTATTTATATCAAATGCACAAGAAATAAATAGCTCTAGTAAAATCATTAGCTGTGAAATAAAGTTTTTGAGTGGTGTTTTAGTGACATCAACCAACTTAAAAATGAAAGGAACATTAAATGACATTTGATGTGTACCATACCAAATCATAAACTGAGTGCATTTAAATACATAAGATGTGCAATCCAAACTCCCTTATTTGTGCTCATCGTCAAATCTTGAGGCTTTAGATTTGATGCACTGTTAAAGGACACCGTTTAACTACATTGAAGTAAAGATAAAACAAGCAAGTAAAGCTTTCTTATTCTTAGTGGTTCTTCAGTTGAAAATAATTAGTTTGAATTTTTTTGCTGGTGTTTGAATGATTCTTTTTATTTTCATGTGAAATAAGATAAATAGATACCAGATAGTGAAAAATAGGACACAATATTCCAAATCACTTTTAGTTCAAATCTCTGTCAACAAAAAGTTATTAATTTCGATCGCTACTGAATATTTATAAGTAGGTGAAATAAAACAACTAAAACAATTACCGGTGTAGAGATTTATACTGATAATTCTTAAGTAGCCTGTTCAATAAATACATCAACTAAAGTTACAAAAAGCTTTATCATACAGAATATATCTTACATTGATATTAAACCTTTTAAAATGCTTTTAATTTGCGGCAGAACACTTTCGATGTACAAGTCACTCTGGATGTTATATTTTTGGGACCTATATTAGTCAAAAGTGACAATTCTTTCAACGAATTCGGAAGTTTAAGCTAATTTTTTTAGTCGAGACATCAGTTGATCCTTTAGTATTTTACTGAGATTTTAACAACTTTGAGAGAATTCCCGAATACAGTTATCACAACTACTGATGAACCCACTTCAATTTTTAAAATATATGACGTTACAGGCATACTTGGTGTACCGCTTTGTTAAGTTAAATGAATTTATTGAATAGGCTAAGCATATATATGTGGTTTTTAATCTTCTATCAATCAATAAACATAGGGCCCTATAACCAGGTTCACTTATTACCTACTGTATTAAGTAGTGAAACTTTTTTTGTGAAAATAAATGGATATACTTCATGTGATTAGATTTTTACGATAACAAGAAATTAATGGTGGTCAATCATCAGTTATTCAAAGCAAACACTAATGAACAGTTAAATATATCTGTACTATATGTGATTCACCGATTGTATAATGACATTGCAGCGATGACATACTTAATTGGTAAGTCAGTTCATAAAGTTCAGTTATTCAATGTGAAAAGAAGTTTATCAGAACTATGTAATGACATATTTGGATCAATCTGATCACACAATTTTAATATCAACGCATTTTTTAAATGAAAGATAAAAGTCAACTACCTCCAACCACCATCTAAAGCTCTTCTTCATTCTCTGGTTTGCTTCTGTGTATTCGGCTTGTGTCATGATTTTCTCTGCTCACATTTGACTGTTGTTAATTATAGTCTTCCTGTTCGTCCTTTCGTTTATCCTGTCGAGGGATTATAACAACTCTCCTACAATCAATTCCGATTATAGTTAATTTTGGTTGAGCCGTTTTATTAACTCACTTAACAGACAATGTTATTAGAACAGTAACAATCCGCATATTTCTTTGTAGTATTATGAGCACCGTCTTGTCTGTATAAACGTATACGCCTGATCACATGACAGTCTACGCACAAATCTCTCTCTAGCTAAAGTGTTAATCACTTAAATATCGCTCGATGAATCGTTCTTCTTCAAATGGACCCTCTCGTAAGGCTGATCTTTATCGTCGTCGTTACTATCATTGGTGGGCGCATAACACTGGATCCTTCCCTCCTTCTTTGTTTCGAAGGATGCTTTGATGATCCTAGATCCATGGGTTTCCCGTCCTATAAGTGCATTTCATGCTTCGTTCAACAGTATCAGAGTAACTGCTTGCGTATATGGAGCATTTTCTTCTTCGTGACCAGAATACAACAGCATCTCTCTCGAATCTATTCTTTTTTGTTCAACTTGGGTCCAAAGGGTTTCACTTATTTTGAGCACGGCCAACTTGTATCTCATCACTTATGTAGCTATTTAATTAGTCCTTTCAGTCTATCACATTGTCTGGACATTCCGTGTACCTATATTAATTATTTCTATGGTTGCTAAAAAGGACATAGTCCTCATGACTTTCGAAGAAAGTCGACTTTCAACATGAAGCACCATATTTCTTCTGAATGAAGATGCTTCAACTCGGGTGATGGAATTTAAGTGGTTTATTTTAGCTAGGATTTTTTTAGCATAATTATTTTTCTACGGTATGGGGTTGCTGACCCCATGCATAACCTTCCTCCTTTACTTGGTCTTGGGACCGGCAGTAACTATATAAGGACTACAGACGGAGTTGGAAAACTCAGATTGATATATACTCATCACCATGAAAAATATCGAGTTTTGATCCGTCGGATTACATTTCTAACTTAATTTACGTCATAATAATAGCACGATGATCCTCCAATGACGTCAGTGATGACTGCTACACTTACAAAGTGAAAGAAATGTATCAGTCTTAACTTCTTACTAAAATTTTCTCAAACCGTTTTGTGATTAGTGACCCATCACTTTATTTTATTTATTTACCTTCAAAAGATAACTTTATACTTTTGATCATCACATAACAATTAATTGTTGATTGATCATTTTCTCTTCTACCATACAGAATATAAAATATGCCAAAGAAATCAGTCGGTACAAACCAAATGACAATCATCAAGAAAAAAGTAAGTGATGTATGTATGTATTACTTACTTACTTACGCCTGTTACCCTTCGTGGAGGAGCATTCACCATCTAACTCTGTCCAAATCAATCCTTTTCATGTCTGCTTCCAAATCCTGACGTTGTATGTTCTCTGGCCTTTCACTTTTCTGTTTCCATTCAGGATTCCAGGATAACAATTGCCTCGTGATGCAGTTTGGTGATTTCCACAATTTGTATCCCATCCACTTTCATCGGCTTTTCCAAATTTTCTCTTCAGCTGAAAGTAGGTTTTTTCTTTCCCACAGCACACTGTTACTGATGGTTTACGGCCAACGGAGATCTGGAGTACACAATTGTTTATAAATACTTGTACCTTTCTGACGATGGTTGCGGTAGTTCTCATAGTTTCTGCTCCATACAGTAGAACTGTCTTGACGTTTGTATTGAAGATTGTGACTTTGATATTGGTTGAGAGTTAATTTGAGTTCCATATGTTCTTCAATTGTAGGAATGCGGCCATTGCTTTGCCAATCCTCACCTTTGCGATTGCATCAGATCCTCCACGTTCATCGATGATGCTACCCAGATACGTGAATGTTTCCACCTGCTCCTGAGTTTCTCTATCAAGTGGGATTATGTTGGTTGGTGTTCTTCGTATTGTATATGAGAATCTCGCTTTTTCCCTTGTTTATGTTGAGGCCTACTATACTGATGTATGTATTGTTCCTCTTTTGCTAACTAACTATAGTAACGTGCTTACGTACTCCTGTTTCCCTTCGAGGAGTATAAACCGGCCACAAGTGTTCTCGATCGAAACTAACTAAGGGTTGAGGAAAAATAAATATTTAACGTAAGCAGTAATTAGGAATGCCGTAAACGTATTGTATGACATAGACTTGACTACTTATTAAGAGTAATAAGTAGTTAAAACTTTTCAAGCTATCTTATTTATAAATTTGAAGGTATGGAAGTTTTGCATTCATTCATTTTGAAGTGTTTTTCATTTACAAGTAAACTGAGACATTCAGATTTGATTTCGTATCGATTACAGCTCTGCTCCTAATTAATAATTATAAAACTGAAGAAATTCCATAGGAACATATAGAAATTGAACAAGTTCCATGTTTAGATTCAAGTATCTTATTATCTCGTAGAACATGGGGTCCAGAAAAAACTCCTGATTGAGCTTAACTCCAATCCTATGTAGATTCCGGTTTGTCAATATACAAAAACTTTTGCTGATTTTTTTCCAACCTAAAGGCAAGTATAAGATTAGTTAGACAGTTATAAAAGATTTGCATAGTGTATTAATAAGAAGAAGATTATCAAAACTATCCATTATGTTACAGCAATGCATTTCGAATAATCTGGTCACATATATATGCTTATTAAGAACATTTACATATCGAAAATAGAGGGTGAACTAGACGAGTCCGAGTTAAGACGAAACAAGGTTAATAAAGAAAAAAAGTGAAACGCACCACTCTGGATAATAAACTAACATTACCATGGTAGGCCTAAGGTGAAAACAAACTGTTTTTGAATAAATAAGGTGGGCTTAAATTTTCGCATGATCAAGGCTTCAGCAAACCTTAACATACACTCTTTAACACTTTTA